ATATTAAATAGATATCAATACACATACAAATATAAAGCCGAATAAACTACCATTGGCTTTGAATGTACAGTAATACTTGTACTATGTGTGACTGAAAGAACAATGTTCTGAATATTTTGAAGCTATTACTAAAATACGGTCAGATAGATTGGGATTTGGAATACCGAATACGTTTAAAATTTTACTAACTGTGGTCTAAATAAATGATAAATGAGCATGTATTTATTAATTTCTTCAAAATCGCGAGTGTGCCAATAGTGGAAGCTGTATCGACAACGAAATTGTCAGCAGTTAATATACAGTAAATAGTACAACGTTTAATGTACGATATATATTTATCTAAATGACATGCCAGCGAGGATCAACAATATAATTATTCGTACATATTTGGGTATCTTTTGTATGCCTTCGCTTGCTGACTTGCTCACTAATGACAATAATCTGTGAAGTCACGACGACCTCAAAATGTACTATACTATAGTCTGATGTCAATCCGAAGACGAAGTTCAGAATACTGTTATAGTTTCGTATATTGGATTTAATCCATAGATTCAAGTCATTTATGATAGACTTTTTTGCTGTGATGCTTTGCTATTGCTTTTGGTTTCCATTTCTAGTTTTATTTGTGCGATAGTCCTATAATATATAATATTAAAATGAACAAAGTTCAAATTCTTCAAAATGCTGTTGTTGACATTTGCTATTTTTAGTAATTTTGTCAACGAGTGTAAGCCAATCAGAAGCCTGCGTTTCTATACGAACGCCACTACCAAGAAAACCTATGGCTATTAGTAAAACACGGAGCACAGAGCACAGAGCACACGGAGTACGGAGCACACGGAGCACGGAGCACACGAAGTACGGAGCAGTAGAAAAACGAAAATCCTTTATAATAAAATACACTGTTTACTATTACAATTTTTTGTTATTATTAACAAAGTTTTTTTCACGTATTACACGTTGGGGAAGTAGGAAAATGGGGCTTTTACTGAAAAACACATATGATGCAAAACCAGGCTGCCAAAAGCCATAGTATTTAAAATGGGATTGTGAAACTCGTTATCTTACATCTATCAAGTTTATGTAGTTATATTATATTCTGATGGGCAACACATAAAGAAACACTTACTGTAGAGAACAGCCGATATATTTCGTTACCCCTGCCAAAAAATAGCCAAGTATACTCATCTTTCAATGTAGCGGATCGACTGAACATTAAATCTTGTGATGAGAAAAGTGAATTTTCGGTTTATCCTTCGGCTCAGTGACCGGTGGCAGTGAGCTGTACAGCCGGCTAAGTTTAAACCGTTATACAGTACATCATTACTGCTTTCATTCTTTCAATTCGTTTTGAATATTCGGAATCATTCACAATATTATAGAACTGTATAAGATAGCTGTAGAACTATAAATGCTGTAGAATGAAATAAATAAAGAAAAGTAAGTTTTCAAATCGCGGTATTTGCCGATAAATCGGTAATCGCTACAGAAAAACAGAACAAATTACAGTATTAAAATCACAACAAACAGCGGAAGTGGGACAATTTTTGTATTTTTACTGTAAGACATGTAGAACATGTACGAAATCCATACAGAAGTGTGTGTGTATTCTATACTTTTGAAACAACTAAATCAGACTTCGGAAAACTTGACCGTATTAAAGCTGCTTTTGGGAATTTAGATTTTAGGTCTTCGTTTTACATGTACCCAGACCAGTAAATATTTTTGAGTTTTGAATTTTGTGTATAAATCAACACCAACGCCTCAAAGGCGAAAAGGAGGGCAAGATTGTTAGAATTCATGGGTGTACCGGAAGGAAAAAATTAGGGGGGCGGAAAGAAAATTGCCCGACTTTTCGAATTCTGCCCGTAAAAAAATTTTTTGGCGACGGCGGGGGGGGGGGAGGTCGCCAAAATAATGGTCAGTGTACCATTTTAGGGGTCCAAAAATTTTTCCAGACAACCAATTTTTTTCGGAACATAACACAAATTTTTGAAAAATCGCAAAATTTGCCAAAAAATTGACTTAATTTTAGACAAAATTGACTTAATTTTGGACAAAATTGACAGAATTTGTCCCATTTTTTTTATTGCAAGCCAAAATTGCCCGACTGTTGATCGAATATTGCCCGACTGCCCAAAAAACTGGGGGGGCTACCGCCCCCCCGCCCCCCCCCGCCCGGTACGCCTATGTTAGAATTGCTATTGTAAACATGAGCAGTTTCGAGCATAAACATAAAATTGAAACGAGTAATTTTTACACATCTGATTGACTAAATTCAGGAAGCCATTCAAGTGTACGCGTATTTGTTACAATTCCGATCAACTCTGCCGTGCAGCACGGCAGAGCCAGAGTAAATTGTAAACAAATTGTAAGCTTGTGAGAATCAGAGTTCAAAACTCAAAAATATTTACTGGGTACATGTAAAACAAAGACCTAAAATCTAAATTCTCAAAAGTAGCTTTAATACTGTCAAATTTTCCGAAGTCTGATTTAGTTGTTTCAAAAGTATAGAATACACACACACTTCTGTATGGATTTCGTACATGTTCTACATGTCTTACAGTAAAAATACAAAAATTGTCCCACTTCCGCGGTTTGTTGTGATTTACTGTAATTTGTTCTGTTTTTCTGTAGCGGTTACCGATTTATCGGCAAATACCGCAATAAAACGTAGTTTTCTTTATTTATTTTATTCTACAGCATTTATAGTTCTACAGCTATCTTATACAGTTTTATAATATAATAGTGAATGATTCCGAATATTCAAAACGGATTGAAAGAATGAAAGCAGTAATTATGTATAACGATTTAAACCGGCGTAGGCCGTACAGCACACTGCTCACTGGTCACTGGGACGAAGGATAAA